TCCTTTCTCCGATTGCGCTGCCTCAAAATAAGAAATGGATTTTCTCTAGTTTCAGAAGATTTTGTTTATGTATTTACTGAAGGAAAACAAGTATGAGTATGAGTTTCCTTGAATAAATAAGTTTTTATGTAACATATTTTAACTTTTTATAGACTATGCGACAGATGAAAACTCTGGATTTCGCAAGCTGTTGGAAACTTGATGATAAAGCATTAAGAGCAATTTGTTCAACGTGTTTTGGTGAACTCAAACAATTGCGATTAGCATGCTGTAAGGTGAGTGATAATTTAAATACTATTCAAATTTAAATTTTTCTATGTAAAAGATAATGACTATACATACACAAATATACTTATTTCCAATTTTTTTTTTATTCCAAATATTTATAATTACCGTAGTGTAGTTTTGATGATACTACTTACTACTTACTAGTTCTTAATATTTTTCATAATTCAATCAAATATGTTCTAGGCCATCCATTGTATCTATCCCATCTACCAATGTGCGTACCTGGAAGCCCTGGACGTAGCATATGTGCCTGGTGCCGACGCTGCAACCCTACAAACTCTATGTGCAGGAAAGAATTCTCTTCCTGCATTGAGAATGCTCGTCATTGGAGGAGCTGATGATAATTCTTCCTACTGTGGTTCGATTGGACTTGGTAGAACTACTGCTTTGCCAGGTAGAACATTTTATTTGAATAAACATTTTTTATGAATTTATACAAAAAGCAGTTTTATCGGAAACGGTCATCGTAATCCTGATAATAGCAAATGCGTAGTATAAAATGCGAATACTATTCATGATTATAAAATGGTGCGATACTTTTTAGGTTCATGCTTAAAAATTGAGTAAAAATTAAAAACCTAAAAATAGCAGAACCTTTGCTAACGCATTTCACTAACAATAAGCTAAAATTGAGCAGCAGTGTCATTATTTTTTACCTTGATTCTAGAAATGTTATTGACGCATGCAGTTCCAAAGTTTAAATAACCAACAATAATAAAAATTAACCACAATAACCAAAAATTGGTTGGACTTTCAAGCTTATAATTCTCAAGCTGCTTGGGATTATTTTTTTACATGATGATTACAAGAAATTTACTATTAATAAACTAGTTATTCCATTAACTAGTAACTAATTATTTATATAAATTTTAATTGTTTATACCGTTATTAGGTGTGAACATCGATTCATCAAGATATAAAGAATTAAATGCTCTATTACGAACCTTAAAACAAGATCGAACAGTCAAAGTAGTAAGCACGGCCTCACCATATGATATGAAAACAAAAATTCAACTTTGTTGAAAAAACCGTTTAACAGGACTAAAAGGACTAAATTCATGATATTGACACATATTTCCTTTGAATTTTTTTAATAACTCCGTACAAGTGTGCAGCTGTATGCAATAATTCAACCTTAAAAATACAGCCTTAAAAATGATCGGTAATAATTAATAAACAATAAATGTAATTGTATTTTAAAATGTAAGTAAGAAATCAACCATAACTTAAATATTAACTGTTTTGAAAATAAAATTATTTATATTATTTAGAATTATTTTATGACATTTATTTTATTTAATTTTATTATTTCTTCGGTTTTATTTCACTTGCTTGTTTTTATTTATTTAAATGAATTATTTTCAAACGTTTTGCTAAGTTTAACCATGACGTTATAATATCTTTGATTTTATATGACAGTAACACGGAACCGTGTTGAACCATCAATAAAATTGTTTATTCAGTTGATCATAAATTCGAGAATATTTCGTAATTCTTAACCTATTCTTGGACATCATTCATATGTAAACAAGTAATACTAGGATGCATTTCATTAATTTATTTATTGTTATTAACTTCCCGGAGGAGAAGTTTGTTGTCGCCAGAAAATTCGACTTGCTTATTTTAGGTTGTCTCGGCGTTTCAAATCATTCTGAATTCAAATTTCATATGAAAATAGGCATCATTATAAAAATTGATTAGTATAAAATATTTTAATATCATGGAAAACCAATTCACGAAAAATTATATTTGAAGAGTAATAACTAATAAGTATATACCTATTCGGTCATATTCCTACATCATTTCTGTAGATACTATATTTTATGTTAAAAATTCGTACCACGTATAATATTTATTTTGATTCAATGCGTTTTACCGATGATTCATTATAATTTTACCTTGAATTATAATTATTAGGTGATAATAATAATTATTATCAAGTTAATGCCATGTGCTATTTGCTATTATACACCTGAGAAGATTTAATTCCGCGCATTCGTGTGATCATTTCATTGTGCCAGTTAATGCTATTGATTAATTGATTTTCTGATTGATTATATCTTATTAATGCCTTGACAGATTTATATTAAATTATAGTATTAACACTTGTAATAATTATTTCTATAAAAAAGAATAGTAATAGTAAGCAAATAAATTAGGAATTATTTTATTTATTCCTCAATGAAAATAAGGGAACCTTATATGGTTCCATGAATCGTATTTTAATATAGTTTATACAATGTTTGGTTATATTTAGAAAAAGATTTGATAAAATAGTTAGTTAAATAACTAAGTTTTAATTAGAAACTATTACAATTACTTATGACAAATTTTGCAAATTCATTCAAGTTTTAGAAACTATAAATATACAAAAATTTCCTTGAGCTTTAGTAAATTTTTATGTTTGCGAAATGTTAATAAGCGTTCTAGCTCTAATCGTAACTTTACAATGTTTTTTTCTGTTTTTTTGATAATCCAGTTTATAATCATTCCCTCAGGCAATGACACATTTCACAAACATAAAAGCCAATTGTTTTTTATCAATCTAGTCACCATATAGTTACTTGATTAATTAATTAGTCATAAGGTGATCAGATAAAAGAATTCAAAGAGTGTAAAAAATATCGGCCTTGTGATCTTCTAGTTTGTCGTGTTAACATTCGGTAATATTTCAGGTTTTAGCATTAGACTTTCCATTTCAACCAATTCTTCTAAATTAGTATTACGCACGTTTCTTATAGATTAGATATGGTTATATCCATCTTATGCATTCTGGATTTTAAGCATTTTAAATAGCAACAGGAACGGATTATTAGATTATAATACCAGATAACATTAGGCCAAATTTGAAATTGGTCAATTTGATATGCAAGTTTTGTTCTTCAATTTTTGTATTTACCTTAAAACGGCTTTGCTGCATTCAATAAAAAGTCATCAGTATTAAAAAAATTCTAATAATAAATAAATTAGACGAATTTGTTAAAAGTATCGTCACAACAGGTTATAGGGTTTTTATATATTTTATACGAGTGATTTTTTTTCAATAACTTGATAAGTATAAATACAAACTAGTGGTGTATGGCATCGAGCCTTAAGGCAAATTGCCGGAACTTCCCGCAGCCTAACGAAATGTTCGAGAACTATCAAATGTTTTCAACTAGATTATTATAAATACTGTTGCATTATCTAATATTTATTTATAAGAATTATATAAACTTAATTAGAGTTCAAATTATTTATTTAAAGTATATAAGTGAGCTTTAGAGCTTTAGCCAAAATTCACATTAAAATCTGAAATATTTTCGAAATACAACAAAAAAAAATTTTTTGAAACATTGTTTTTTCAAAAGCAATTATTTTGTCATAACAAGCTGAAATTTTTCTGAATCATTCAAATTTGGATGCTTAGTTCTTTCAAAAACTGCAATTTTTTGTACATTTAGCTCTGTATCTTCGAAATGGCTGGACCTGCCTTTGCCAAAAACTAATCACCTCTTCTCTCAATCATTGCAAATTGAATGTTTTTTGGATCATTCAAATCGAATACTCGGATTTTGGTTTTGGATCATTCAAATCGAATACTCCGTTCTCTCATAAATTCGATTTCTATTTTATGCACTCTTTGCTCCGTATCTCCAAAATGGCTGGACCTGCCTTTGCCAAAAACTAATCAGCACATCTCTCTATCAATAGGAATCGAACTATTAAAATCGGTTGACCCATGCGCCCGAAAACATGGACGAAAAAATGCGTACATACAAAGCACATACACACACATTCATTTTTTCTGAGGTATGCCAAAATGTTCAGAAACCTCTGAAACGTGAAGATTTGCAAAAAAATTTCATTTTGGATTTATTTCGGCCCATTACTATAACTTACTCTACGGGAAGTTAATAATACACGAACTGTATATTCATCATTGACTTTAATATCAGTTAAAAATTTATAATGTTTTTTTTTATTTGGCCTCGATTACTTTGAGCATTTAGACATCTACAACATTTTTATATACTTACATTCTAATTTTTATATCATTTTCAATCTATATATGTATCCTATTCTATATTCTTCTTATTTTTCTTCTTATTTTCTTCAATTCTTGCTCTTTTTCAAATTTCTAATTCTATTCAACTTCTAGCTTCATTCCATTTTTTTCTTCATTGTTCTTTTAATTTCAGCTTAGTTCCAATATTTCTCTTCTTACTCCTAATACAATTCAGCTATTCGAACTCTGTTATTCCTATTTTTGTTAATTTTCATTCAAATTCTACTTAACAAAACAATTTTTATTTGATTTCAAATTAACTATACATATTTTTTTTCGTATATTCTAAGTCAATGACAGGATTCGATCCAAAGATTCCTGTCCTGTGAATAGAGCACGCAACCAAGAGAGCTCGCCAATGCTCGCCACTTTATAATCTCCAGCCATCGCTATAATTTTTAAATATTTGTGAATATTCAATAAATCATTTCCCTATTCTGCAAATTCAAATTCATGTTCAAATCACGTATACAAAAGAATTTATTCGCATAAACAGTATCGAACCGGTCCTGATGATGCAAAACGGCTCGTCTTCTGTTTATTTCATAACATGCGTCTCAGGTGACCTCACAGAGATGATCCATCGATTCGTCCACCAGCAATTCCCCACTTATATCTTTTTCTCTCCACAAATGTCAGGGATTTTTCAATCGAACCAGCAATTAGCAATCAGCTAAATCAGAAATCAGATCCCATCCAACGTTCAACCAGATCGGAAGTGACAATAATTGGATCTTTATATTGGTGTTTTTCTTTTGGAAGAACTGAGTGATAAAAAGTGATTTTTAGAACAAAAAATGGCCGGAAAAATTAGCGGCTGTATTGTTTTGCTGTTTGCCGTGTGCGCAGTTAAAGGTAACGTGACATTAAATTATATGAATCAAATTGATTGATAGAATAATTGTTTAATGGAGCATGCGAGAGGTTAATGGAGCGATTTTAAATCAAATCGTCTAAAACCATAGTTTTTTCATGAAAACAAATATTTTTTACTTTAAGCAACTATATGAAAAAATTCTATATATTAATATTAATAAATCAATATTGATTAAATTTAAAAAAACAATAATGAAGTTGACTTAAATAAATATTTAATTTGATTTAAAAAATAAACTAGTTGTGTATGGCATCGTGTTTTAAGGCAAATTGCAGGAACTTCCCGTACCGTAACGAAATGTTCCAGAAATATTAAATGTTTTCAAATAGATTATTATAAATACTCTAATTTATAAGAGTTATATAAACTAAATTATGAAGTTAAAATTAATTATTAAAAGTATATAAATGAGCTTTAGAACTTAAACAAGAATTAAAATTAAAGTCTGAATTATTTTCGATATACAAAAAAAATTTTTTTGAGAAAAAAAAATGAAATCCGTACATACATACACACACATCCATTGTTTCTGTGGTATGCCAAAATATTCAGAAACTTTCAAAACGTGAAAAAATGTAAAAATTTTCAATTTCGATTTTTGGACGATTACAATAACTTACCCTCTACGGGAAGTTAATAAATTATTATATATAAAAAATAATAAATAAATAATTATATTTTTTTTAAATTATTATTTAAAAGTTTTATTTTTAATAACATACAGTATTTCCTCTGATTTTATATTGATTTTTTAAAATGCAAAATCAATTTCTGTGCAAATGTTCGATCCACATTATTTGAAAACTTAATATAATTGATTTATTTATAATAATCAAAAAATATTATTTAATTTTTTACTTTCTCAATATAATAATTTATTTATTATTATAATCAAAATAACTATTTATTTATGCCTACTGCATTATTACATTTTAATTTAAATATTTAATATATTATTTTAAAAAATCAAAAAAGTCTGAAAATATATCAGAAAAGTAAGATACATAAAAGGTAATAATAATAAAAGAGTCACAATAATAAAATAATGATGACAATAATATTGATAGTAATAACTATATAGAAAATAATTTAAATTTATTCTATATTGTTCAAATATGATTAAAATAAATATGTGTTTTTTATTAGATCATCTCTATATAATTGATAAAACTATGCCATAAAATCGAACTTGCATTTTTTTTCAAATTAAATTTCCATTCTATTTTTTTATTTATTTATATATATACATTATTTTCATATCTTAGAGGGACAGAAGTGCCTGATATGAGAGATTATGAAAATAGTTTTAATATTTCATTAATATAATATATATCATTATTTTGCATAATAAGTTTTCATAGTATACGACTGCGAATGAGAAAAATATTATTTATAGTTAAAATCAATTTTTAACTATAAATAATGTTTTTCGTATGCTTTTTATAACTTTAAAAACAATTGCAGAAAACGTAACTGGCCATTAAACTTATGTCGATTAATGTTATGAAGAAAAGACCATTAATCTTATGTCAATTATCACATCCAGATAGTTTTATTGCTCAACGCATTTAACGAATCTTCTTATGTATTTTTTCATATCTTTTAATTCAAGCGATGTTTACCTTTACAAAACCAACTAATCGATTTGACGAAACACCTTGCGTTTTCACTTTCGTTTCGGGCCGATGTTAATTTTTGTGAAGAGCGAATTATTAAAATGAGCACAGGTGGAATAATACTTTTTATGTAAGACCATAACAGATTACTCTTGAGAATTATTAACAGATCAAAAATGCATTTCGATCGCTATATTAATTGAGTATTCGAGTTTTCAGATTTATGTACACTACACTAAATCTTTGCTATATTTTATATAGGGTATAACATCAATAAAAAATATGAATTTCTTTTAAAAATTTATTTTACATCCATACGTTTCGGCTATAATCCTAGCCTTCATTCAGTTGAAACTAAAAATAAAATTAAAAACTAAAATAATTGAATTGGAGAAAAGCAATATATAATAATATATGTAATAATCGAATGTATATCAAAAAAAGTAATAAAAGCATATATGTAATAATCGAATATTCACAAAAAACTAAAAAAGTAATATCCAATGTCCAATTTCTTGTCTGGTAACATTGACATTGGATTCTGCAATGTCAAATAGCTTCTTCTTCAATATTATTATTATGTAGTAAGTTCTAGAAATGCATAAATGTTCCCTAAAATTTTTTAATTTTCTGTCTGATCTATGTGTTTTAGAAAATTTAAAATGTCAAATCCCATGTCGAAACGATAAATCGCCATATGAATCATTTGTGTGGCCATGGTAAAGTCATATAATTTTGACACCGGTTTGTTAATATATTGAAAGTTAAATTGTTTAAGTTTAAATATATGAAAGTTTTTGTATTCTTATATACATTAGGGCGGGTCGATTTAAAGATAACTTAGGCACCAGTGGCGGATCCAGGGGGGGGGTCACGGGGGTCATGACCCCCCCCTGAGCCTGTTTTAGGACTTAGATAAAACACTAATTTAACAACAAAATTACTTCATAATGATTTTATTTATGTATTTTGTTACCAAATACATTTTATAACTTGAATATTTAACTGATTGTAGAAGAATGGCGGAGTCAAAAACCCGAAAATTTAAAGATTTTCTAATCGTATTGCGAATATATGTTTTATTACAGTTTAGAAAAAAATATCATTCAGAAATCAAAAAATTAAACTGATTGTGAGTGGCCCTTACGCATCAACTTTTTGTAATCCTAACATCTGTAAATAGATGACTCAATCAATATATAAACTAGTGGTGCCTGGCATCGTGCCTTAAGGCAAATTGCTGGAACTTCCCGTACCGTAACGAAATGTTCGAGGAATATTAAATGTTATCAAAAAGAATATTATAAATATTGTAACAGGGTCTAATATTTATAAGAATTATATAAACTGAATTGCAAAGTTAAAATTATTTATTTATAGTATATAAGTTTTAAGCTTTAGTCAGAATTAAAATTAAAATATAAATTATTTTCAATATACAAAAAAAATCTTGAAAAAAAAATTGAAACAATTTTTTTTAAAAGTAATTATTTTGTCAAAACAAGCAGAAAGTTCTTTGAATCATTCAAATCGGTCGCTCAATTCTCTCAAAAACTGCCATTTTTTTCATATTTAGCTCAGTATCTTCAAAATTGCTGAACCTGCCTTTGCCAAAAACTAATCACCTCATCTCACAATCATTACAAACTCAATGTTATTTAGATCATTCAAATCGGATAGTCCGTTCTCTCAAAAACTCGATTTGCATTTTCTGCACTCTTTACTCAGTATATCCGTAACTGCTGGACCTGTCTTTGCCAAAAACTAATCAGCACATCTCCCTATCAATAAGAATCGAATGTTTTTTGAACCATTCAAATCGGTTAATCCGTGCGCTCGAAAACGTGGACGAAAAAATGCGGATATACAAAACACACACACATCCATTTTTTCTGAGGTATGCCAAAGTGTTTAGAAACCTTCAAAACGTTAGATTTTCGGCTTATTACTATAACTATCATATGGGAAGTTAATAATGACTGATTTAGAGAAGTATACCTAATCGCTGTAAATCATTTTGAAGTGAGAAACTATTGCAAATTGTTTTTTTTTTTTCAAATATAGTAATTATTTTTTTTGAAAAATGGTTTGAATATTACACATTGATGGTAAACAAACACATACGAAATACAAAGCCGAATACATACACACGGTGAATTTTTTAAAAGCGCGGCCAAATAATCTAAACTTTAATTATCATAAGTAAACCACTTGTCGCAGGCCTTAATATAGTTTAGTACGTTCACTTAAATCGCCAAAAAAATGACAATCTATTATAAAAAAGAAACGACTTGACCGATCTTCGCCAGAAACCATTTATTTCCAAATGATATCAATCGAATAGTTTAAGCAAAAACGGTTAAGAATTTTTGAAAAACATGGACGATAATTTTTGCACTTTTCTGTCAATTGTAAAGAAACGGATCGACCAATTGTCTAAAAAAACTAATGAACGCAAGCGCTTATCTAGTTTCATTTTATAGTTTTGAAATTTTAACATCGGTTCAGACGGGAAAACGTCGAGAAAAGGTCAAATTTTCAAAGGTCAAAGTCGCAGATTATTTTTTAAAAAAAATACACATACATAAGGTAAGGCTAAGTAAATTTGAGCAATTATATTGTGAAAACTAAACGAAAAACATAACAACCAATAAGACACGTCAAACAAAAAGTCATCTGACTATGTTTTAGTACAACTTCCAGCTAATTCATCACTGTAAAAATGTGTTTTTTGCTGTTTTTAAAAAATTTATTAATAATTATTGTAAAAATATTTTTTTAACGTCGTAAGAATCAGGGTGATGGCTGGTTGTACATTTTTGCCTCTACTTTCAAATATTGTTGTTAAAAAATCCTTAACTTTACTTGTTTTTGAGATATCGGTGGTGGACCTTTTCACCCGCGAATCTTTAAACCTCGCTTTATCTAATATATATATATATATATATATATATATATATATATATATATACAGGGCCGGTCCTGGGGTCTTTGCGCCCGCATGCAACTTTTTTTCTAGCGCCCCCCCCGCCCTATCAATTTTAACTGTTTTAACAGTTTATCATTAAAATTATATAAATATTTACAAAATTTTTTAAAGTAATTTTTAATTTGATTGGATTTAGTACACAAAAAATAAGATATAATCTAAAAGAGTATAAAATACATTGATTTTAAATTTATTACAAATATATTTAAATTTTCAAATATTTTTAACGTATGTGCAATATTATTATTTGCGTTTTGAAACATTTTACTTATTTATTGTGCGATTTATTCCATTGAGCAAATCATGCCAAGACAGCTAAATAAACTAGCTTGTCGTTTTCAATCATAACACTCGTATTTCATATTGGATTTTTTAAATTGTAATTTAATTTTATTTTTTACAATATCCAAAATTGCGTCGTAAACTTCTCCTTATTGATATCGTAGGAGCCGAATTGTATTCATCCTTGCTTTCTCGTTATATTCAGATTATCAGATTGTTGTTTTAAAGTTAAATTCTATTATTATTTTTATTATTTTAGAAGTATTGTCCAAAAATGAGTAAAAAATGCTAAGAAATTACACATTTCTTGAACTATATTGACAAAAAACTAATTATATTTGATATGTATTATTTCTGCAGAGTTAATAATTATTAAGTTTAGAGTATGGACACCACAAGGTATAAAAAAAGCCTTAAGATTTACGTTTTTCATATTTGTTTCATTTCGATAACTCTAACCACGCATGTCTTTAACATTCAAAGTTCATCAGATGCGAAATATTTGCAACAAAAACAAAAGTTTCAATTCAATTTCTCGGAATAAACATGTCATTTTTTAAGAAATGACTCCCCATTTTTCATTTTCTCGATTATAATTTATTTATATTTTTTAACAAGTTCTATTTCAACAAAGTCAGCTCGTAGTTTTTCGTCAATAATGCCCAATAATTAATTTAATCTTTCGCAGCTTTGCGCTTATGGGCAATAGATAATTTCTTTTTCGATTCCACCGTAACTTCAAACAAAGAAAAAATTGAATAAGTATAGATTAAGCAATAAACCGAGTTGTTATTTACTCATTTGCAGAGTACTTAATAGGTTAATTGTTTCAACTAATATCACATTGCAGTCTCCGTATCTATAGTTGAGTTAGAGTGCTCATTATAATTCATCAAGTATTCTAGATTTTATATAAATAATAAAAAATATAAACAATATAAATTTATTTTCCGAAACTCGTTTTGGCGCCCCCTAAGGCGTGCGCCCGCATTTTTTGCATGCATCGCATGCAAGGCAGGACCGGCCCTGTATATATATATATATATATATATATATATATATATATATATTAAATTTGTTACATACTTATTGAGGACCATAGAAACTTTTCAATTATGACCCCCCCCTGACGCCGAAGCTGGATCCGCCGCTGTTAGGCACATATAATATTTGGATTTTAGAGATCAAAATAAGATACTTTTCTCAAGAAACCATTTCTATAAAATAAATTCTGATGTCCCGTGCATTGTCCCATACAAATCGACCACTCTAATATACATTTATTATTATATTTAACATAATATGCCCAACAGTTCTCATTTGTTAAGTAAAATAAAATAATATTAAAATAATATATAATGCACTTCGCAAAAAATTATCTGGTAAATTATAATTTCACCTGAATTGAGGATATGTATTTTTGGTTTATATACTGGGTGTCTCAGAACTTGTAGTCAAGCTGAAACGGGCTGATAGTTTTAACCTTAATCGCCCTGAAAAATATTTGAAAAAATAATTCTCTTGCATTCTTTGAAAATTATGAGCTTTTTATTCCAACTTAAAGGCTTTGGTGGAATTATAACCCTTATTCGGTTATTGTGGTTAATTTTTACTCATTTTCTTGATTTAAACAATCAAAAACAATAATACAATTGTCCCAAGTTGTCAATAATTAGGACTTTTTGTTGAACTATATTTTTAAAATTTTTAAAATCGATCGACTTTGAGAGACCATCCTACTTTAGTACTTTTTCTAACACACTTTAGTACACTTTAGTGACTAAGCATTTAATTAGTATTGTAAAATTGTAAAATGCTTAAATTTTATTATTGAAAATTATAAAACAAATAAAATAAAATAAAAAATAAAACCGGAAAATGACATGATTTTTGCTAGTATATTTTGTTAATTATACTTTTATTTACTAAATGCTAGTACAAATTGTATCGGTTTGGCTTTATTATGGTAGTTTATAAACTGTACAAAGGCACTACTCATTACAAACAAAAATTAGTTTTACAATTAGTATATATAATTCATACCGAAAAATTTGCACACGTTTTTACTAGAGCGAGCTTCGAAAAAAATAATCGCAAACCAATATAGAATTTATATGTTCTATAATCCTCAAACGACACACCATAAGTACAGCTCTTTTTTTCAATTTACTACAAATAATAATTACATTAAAGCTTAGGCTTTTTAAATCATGTTTAACCTTCATAAAAGATCAATTACTAAGACAATAGCAAATTATTCTCATTATTCGTACAATTAACTCAAACAAGTGGAGTGACGTGCGATAATCAAGCCATCAGTAAATTGCGTAAAAGCGGCGCATCTAATTTTTACACATTTATAAAAAATATATATTTATAAATATCAATTTCATTTTTAAAATCTTCACTCAAGCCAAAGGCATAGGAAAGGTAATGGAATAACTTACATATATCATTTGTTGGTAGGGAAACTTTTAGTTATATTAGTTATTTCTACAACTTTATTCTATTTTTTTCCAAAATTCTGCGCTGCATAATAATGTGCATGCAGAGAATTCTCTGCAGAATATATACCCTTTCCACTCGCTAATTTCGAGATGTATGTGAAGCTTGTTGCCGGAGCGGCGGCATCCGAGTGCAAAGGGTTAATATATGTTTTGTCGTGCGCGTTGTAAATATAAGTCAATAAAATTGCATTTAGCTATAGAATATAAACTACAGCCCACTAATTTCAAACTGTTGTTGCGACAGTTGCCTTGAATCTATTACTCAATAAAACAAATTCTAATTGTCATACGCACATTGTGGGCTTAGCAGAATCCAATAATCACTCTTCATTGTTCTTTCTGAAATCAATTGTTTCCAAAGGGACATAAATTCTTATTTGTTTTGAGGCGCCAAGATTGAATGTTTGTCGGCTTATTATGTCATGAAAACCCTCATTCTTTTAAATGACACATTATGCAAATTATCTAATGGATATTTAAATACAGCTAAATACTTTCTAATGGTTATTACTGCCTAGGTACCAGGTATAACATGATGCTTTGTGTAGATGTACTTCTATAGGGAATATTGCTATTGGAATTAACTAAAATCATTGAGTAATTACCAAAAATGTACATATATACATTTTTACATACTCAAGGTATGGCATACAGCCAGGGGCGCATTTAGAAATTCAGCACCCCGGGGCACCGACAAAAATGCAGCCCCATCACAGAAATTTTACTTAAATAGTTTTTAATTTTTCTAAAATAAAAATAACTATATGATAGCAAAAAAATTATTACGCATTATAATGTAACAAAATATTCATATTTTTTCTAACAAAAAAAATTATAAGTCTTTACATTTTGCACTAAGGACTTTCGTCACTGGCAGATTTGACGAACTTCTTAACTTCCCGTAGGATACGTTATTTATACTTAAAATTAAAAATATAGTAATCGCAACAAAATCGAAAATGAAACTTTTTTATATCTTTACGTTTTAAACGTTTCTGAACATTTTTTCTCACTTTCCAAATTTGCCGCCATGGGCACTTGCCCTGACTGCCTTACTGTAAATCCTAGGCTAAGTATATTTTGAACAATGCATAGAGTTTGTGTAATTACAAACAATTATTATATTAATTTTTGAAGAAAGTAAATGTCTAAACTCACATATAAAATTTATATATAAATTATAATTTTATTCACCATCATTATTATTTTTTTTACAGTTTTGTCACTAGGAGGTGGCGGATGTCCAGAAAAATTCGGTCGTTATCCCACTAGTCAATGTGATGCTTACATCGAATGCAAGGTGAATTTCTAAAAAAAAAAATTACTTTTACTAAATTTAATTTAGATGATGAAATAGAAGATAATTATAATCATATACTCTTCTTTCATCTATGATTATAATATTATTCATTACATTCCCTTTGTATCGTTTATCATTAACGAGTGATATTATTTGGTTAGGATGGTGTACCAGAAGAAAAATTGTGCCCTGACGGTCTATTATTCAATAAAGATGTTGGACCATATACTTATCCTTGCCAATACCCGATTGATGTAACCTGTGAAGGACGTTCTGGACTCCGTAAGTTTTTAATAATTTCCTTATATTTTTCCAAAATTATAGTCAAATTTAACAACTAATCTTTTATTGTACATATTTAAGTAGGGCTTAATTAAATTATAAAATGATCACATAACAATACTCAATAACAAATGATGATTATCTTCAAACCAATTTTATTTCCTTTCTTATTTAATTTTCTTTCCTGGTTTTCTGCAGAACAAGCACAGCCAACCGATGAATGTCCACATCAATTTGGCTACTATCGTTTAGGGGATTCCAAAAATTGTGGTCAATTCATGAACTGTGCAAATGGGCGCGGTTACGTATTTGACTGTCCAGAAGGGCTTGCTTTTAACCAAGCGACTTACCAATGCGATTGGCCAGATCTTGTAGCCGAATGTGACGCCGAAGGTAAAATAATACTCTAATTGATATAAGGTAGCAAACATAGATAAATAAGCAAAATGGTCACAAAACAGCTAATTTCGTCAGCAAACCTTAATTTCGCCGACAATCGCGTAGTCTAGTTTTGCATTTGCCCTTAAGCCATAAAATTACTGAAAATTGTTTATTCTTTACACTTTTTTAGTTTCAATTTATATAAAACTAGTATTATCATTATGGAAATCATAATATATTCACAGGCCGCAAAAAAAGGCGCAGAGGGCCACCTTATCCGGGAAGCTATCCTCAAGATGAGAACTTATTATAAAGAAATGAAAACTGTTCATTAAATATATTCCGTTAAAATTTTAGAAGAAAATTGTTACTTTAAATGTTACTTTACTCGTAATTAAAAATGTTTTCATCTGTCTGCCTCAAAATACGATAAACATTTAAATGACTCATATTTATATATATTTGAATATATAGCTATAAATATGTAATAAAATAAATATGTATACATATATATGTATATATAAACAGATTACCATATAAATTTAAGAATTTTATTATTTGAAAATAAATAAATAATTGAAGCAATAAAATGTTTTTAGCATTTCTGGGATTCAAATGCCCACCTGCTCCACACACTCCTGGCCTTGGTGAACCTGAACATCAATTCATCAGGTAATGTTTTAATACTGGGTTTTATGTGTCTTATAACTGTTCTTAACGACTTCATGTGTTTAAATAACATTAAAAAGTATTCAGGATAATCTGAATCACTTCAAGACTTTTGGATACAATTTCTAATCAATCAAGAAGTTCTTACATTCAAAAGAGTTGTAAAAGTTAATTACATTTATTTTGGTTCACTTTTATTTCATTACAAATCAACTAATATTTGTTTTGAAATTCCGTTTAGATCTCCTCACGATTGCCAACATTACTTCTTGTGCGTTACCGGAAAACCACGTCTCTACAACTGCGGCGAAGGAAGTGCCTTCAATGAGCTGATCAACAGTTGCGATGGTATTGAAAATGTCACCAGTTGTGCTGGAACCCACCGAAACGCTGGTGCCCAAGTACACAATTTAGGCGGCCAACAACAATCGAACTTTGGCCACCAACAATCAAGTTTCGGCCAACAACAATCGTCATTTGGTCAACAGCAATCTTATTTCACTAATCAACAGAGCAATTATAGAGGACAACAACAACAAGGATTTGGTGCTCAGCGAGGGAGCCACAGATTCTAAACGAAATGTTTATTTTATATAAAACTAAGTTATTTTTTTAATAAATTATAATAATTAAAATAAATAAGTATATATATATATATATATATATATATATATATATATATATATACATATAATGTAGTGAATCATAAATCTAGTCTTAAGATGTTTCGAAAGAATGAAAATTTCATTATATTTTATTGTATATTTTATGCGTTTATAAAATCAGTTTATCTTGCCGATAAAAATTTACTTACTTTGTCACTATAAAAAGTACTACTCTGTCACTTTTATTTTCTATATTTTATCAGAAATTATAATTATTCAAACACAATAAAGAAGAGATTAGAAAATAATTTAATAATAATTAATAGCATTTTTGATATAAATATATATGTAAATGGATTATTTATACATGATTTATAAATTAATTATTAATATACCTTCCTTAATTATTATTATGTTTGATGATGATGTTAAGGTAACTGTGAATAAGTTTTTCGTAAAATCTCTAAAACTATTTTTGTTTCTGAAATTTTCTCTAACATTATTGAATTCACATCAAATGGTTTTGTCAAACATTTAATTTCTTTTTAAAAAAATATATATATATAGTTACATATAAATACTGAATATCAATTTATTTTAACTGTGATGAGAATATTTCAATATAAAAATTTAAATTTGCCTCTCTATTAAGTAACGCGTGAAGTTGTGTCAAAGTGTCAAATTGTCAAATTAATCTAGGTAAATATATACTGGTCTCTATGTTTTCAAGTCATAAAAAATACTTAAAAACACTTGCTTGACATCAGACGTAAAGACCGATGTTTTTATTTCGCGACAGTGTAAATTTTTACACAAATATTGATGCTTTTTTAATATTGATTAAAGTGCGTTATTGATTGTTTTTCATCAGTTTTATTTCGAAAGAATATTAATTTGAGAATGTCAAAGTCTGAGAAAGAAAATACTAAAAATGAACCCGTCAATGGAATCGTTCAACCACCAGTTGTTCCATCAGACCGACCGGGACGATTGACGAATCAACTTTTATTCCTATATAACCCTGTTTTAAAAGCTGTATATAGTCATCGGTATGCTTGGCCATTTCATCACCCTGTAGATGCAATACAACAAAATTTACCTGTAAGTGATGAATATAAGTACCATGATTTAATTTGTTCAAGATGTATGGTTGAATATTTGTTTTTACAGTCCATGGACTCTTACGAGCAATTGGCAATACTTGGTCAATGTTCTTTGCTTGCTCTGTGCCATATGTTCATGAACGTTTTTATATAAAATGTTCGAAGTATTTATAAACATTATTCTTCATTCATTTAGATTGATTTGGTCTCTGTCTTATCTCAATAAACCACTTAACATATTTTACTTTAGTTAAACCAATTACGATTGTGAATTATTGATATTCGCATTTGAATCTGCTTTAAATTAATCTTCTGTCTTTGCATAAAAACCTGAGATTTTGTATGTTCATGAAATGTTCAATTGGTTCCAGTATAATGTAACATATTATATGTTCATATGTCATGTTTCAATAGCCGTAAGTTAGAATTTATTATTTAAAAATACATTTGTTTTAGGATTATCATGATCTTATAAAAAATCCTATGGATCTAAACACAATAAAGAAGAGATTAGAAAATAATTATTATTGGACAGGAAAAGAATGCATTCAAGACTTCAATTATGTATTTTCAAATTGTTACATATATAATAATGCAACTGATGATGTTGTTCATATGGCGCAAGCAGTCGAAACATTATTTTTAACAAAGGTAAAGTATGTACTAATAGAAAAAAAAGTTAACTTCCTAAGCTACTCTATGTAGTATTAAAGTATTTAATTCCTTATTCCTTATGATTACACAATAGCATTGGCAAAAATATAATTAATGTAATTAAATACAATAAAGATTTGATTAATCGTACTTAAATTTTAATTTGGATGTTAATCAAACACAGTTTTGAAATTTAAATATGACCTAGTTAAATAAATCATTGATACTAATTTAAGGAAATACACTATTTATTAACTAAATTTATTCAAAAAAAATATTGTTGCAGGTTTGTGAAATGCCAAAAATTGAAATAGAAGTAGAACGATCTTCATTAAAAATTTGGAAACCTAAAGATTAAAGACAAGAGATACCAGCTTAATGGAATTTATTCATTTTGTTGCTTTTGTTGTTTATAAACAGTATTAGGTAAATTTTATTTTAATAGGATGAAAGCTGAATTTACATTGAATAGAATTTACCTTTTAAGTATATTTGGTGATTAAATCAATACTGATCTGTGGTTACTTTGAAATTCTTAATATCTTAGTTTTTTTATTTTAAACATAATTATTCCATAACTATATAGAAATCCTTGAAATCATTTGAATTAATGAAGTAAACAAAATTTAAGACTTATTTAAATTTAAAAATATATTTGATGATATTCAACAAACCTTATAAAAACTGTTATAGCTAGTTTCTATTTTTAAAAGACTGTTGTTGTAATATTTATGTCAAGTTAAGTTTTGTGTATACATTTTTGTATTGTTACTAATGTCTTATTATATTATAGTTGCATAATCGTCTTTTAGATGAATAAAAAATCTTACAGATGACCAGATATGTAGATCAATCTATCATTTTAACTAAAATTCCCAATAATAATAATGTGTCTTGTGAGTACTAAACAGCAGTTGCATATTTTACTGTATTCTAACAGTTTGTTATTAAATACTTTGAAAAGTTTTTTTTTTGCTCTAGGTAAAATGTTTGGCTGTGTAATAGCCTATAGCTTTGCAATATTTTCTTCTCTATAGATCAATCTCTTCTCTTCTTTTATCTATAGATCAAAAAGTATTTACAATGCAGATGTTTAATTCACTTTGTCGATATTCAAAACTATGTGCACATATTTCAAGATAATGTTTTTTTTTCCATTAACTTTATGATCTGAATATTATAATTACTCATTTATCTAGATTTATACTTCAATACCAGATCTGTTGCCATATGAATTCCTATGAAACTAGGTTACAATAAGATTACAATGATTCACATACGCATAAAAATTATTAATAATATTTATTACTTTTTGTATAAATACTTTTAATAAAGTAAACAATACAAAACATGAATTTGTATCAATTAAGTAAAACAAAGGTAAATGAAAAGTGTTTTTGTGCTAGGGAATTTTTGTCTTTTGCTTAGGACTGTTGAAAATAAACAACAAAAGAGTTGTATTAGTAATATTGTTATATATATATATATATATATATATAATTTTGTATGACACATTGATGAGGAAAAAAGTAAAATTTTTAGCTATTGGAAGGATAATAATAATCTTCAATTAACTAATCTTCATTCACTTTTTGAACCTCATCAACTATACATATTATTTATTCTTCAATTCGTCAGAAAATCTGACTTACTAATTTTATGTTTTCTCGACGTTACAAGTCATTTTGAATCGTTCAAAATTCGAGGGTGTGAGCTTAATGAAACAGATTAAAATTACGGATAAAATAATATATAATTCTATATGTGTGTTTATATAATTTTCTTGAGATATAGATCAAATTTAATTTGTGCAAAATATTCGCCTAACAGTTCTTTAAAAAATTTTGAACATATTCAGAAAAGTGTTTACAGATTTCAAATTTTTAACAAACTATTTTAAGTTTACATTCGTTGTTCATTGTTGCCAACTTTTAAAGTAAAAAAATAACAATATATTTGACAGCACGAATAGAATGTGGTAGAATCTTCTTGATAATTCCTGAACTTTTGTTGTTGTTTGATTGCATTATATTATTATATTGTCTAGGTTATATTATGTTGAAGTGTGGTTGAAATAGTTGTCTATATGCTTTATTTGTGAAGGTTTATCTGTACTAGCATAATAATGTTAGGAGTAATAGTTTCAGGACGACTTGTATGTACTAGTGTTTAAAAATAGGTTAATTAACATAACTTTCATTTAAATCTCAAGGAGTTGAAATAAAAATTTTACTCTATGTAAAAAAAATTAAAGCTTTGTAATATTAGTCAATATATACAGAATTTTATTTACACATTCAAATGACGCATAAAATATATAATAATAACAGTTAAAATATCATGATTCTTGTTTTATAATGCAAGTGGTAACAAATTACTATGTTTGTTGCTACATGATGCGTTTGATGCTTATTCAATACATTATACATACATTGGAAATTTATGTCAATATGATAAAATATTATATTTTTATATATTTTTAATTATCTGTCATTTCTAGGTACAAACAAACTTCCAACAAGTAGGAGAAAGTCAGTTCTTAATTAATATTGAGGATGCTGACAATATAAATCATTTAGTGGTTTTTTTAACCGGGACTATACCTCTGCCAGACAGTTATGCTGCGTCAGGTAAACATTTATTACAAATATTTCAAACGGAATAACATTAATTCAAGCAGATCATACTAATATATGTTTAAATTTCAGTACATTTCAGTTGGCCTGACCCTACAGCCCCACCAAATTGGCAATTACTTGGATATATTTCAAACACTAAACCTTCTGCTATATTCAAGATCTCTACTTTGAAAAAGCTAAATGAGATGGAAAGTTCTAATTACAATTTGTTTGGTAATCAACAAATTTCACATATTGCCCAGATAGGAGTTCAAATCGAACCAGAAGCAAATGTATTGCAGCAAACTACGGCAACTGTAAGATACAATATAAAAAATTACATTCATGTAACTGTATCAAATATTATTCTAATATATCTTTTTTACAGGCCAGTACGAAGTCAATCTAACATTTGGTCAGAAAATGCTTGAAAACTTTTTTAATTATGTTAGTAGTTTTGCTATTACACAAAGTAATATGGAACCCAATCCGCAAGAAACCTATGTGCCCTTATCAACACTACAAAAGTGGTATACCAATTTTGAAAGAAGACTTGAACAAATCCCCATTTTTGGAAATCTTGAAAATAAAATATGAGGTTTTATTAATTTTTATAAGTTAGAATTTCCTTTATTAAGAAAATTTTGGCATATAAATAAATTGTAAATAAATAAATATGTTTAAGGCGAGAAATTGTTTTTTAAATCATTAGTTTTATTTACAGTAAAGATTTGCGCGTAAACTAATAAGCAGTGCACACATTGTCGATAATTTTGAAATTTTACAATTTGAAAGAACCGCCATATTTCGATTGATCGACAAACACACATGCATGAAACCTAAAAATATTAAATATCAATATACATTGTTGATTTGGTACATAGCCTAACTTTGCACGTGCTGTCAAGTGAAGAAAACAGCAAGATAAGACAAGTTTAATTTAAAACATGGGTAAAAAACGTAAACACACTAAAGAGGATGAATTTGAATTTGATCCCCTTCCCAAACATTTAGTGACTGCGCATTTAAAAAATCAAGAGAAGCGGTTAATAATAATTCTCGAAGGAGCACAGCTAGAAAGCGTTAAGGTAATATTACTTTAAAGAAGTTTTTTAGCATGTTATAATATATATTGATCATTCTTTTATAATACGATAGGTGGGAAATACGTTTGAACTATTGAATTGCGACGATCATGCACATATATTGAAGAAAAATAACCTAGATCCTGGTGCTTGCCGACCAGATATCACACATCAAAGTTTATTAATGTTAATGGATAGTCCACTTAATCGAGCTGGATTATTACAAGTATATATTCATACTCAGAAAAATGTTCTAATTGAAGTAAATCCACAAACAAGAATTCCAAGAACTTTTAAGAGATTTGCTGGGCTTATGGGTATGCATGAATTTCCAGAATATTTTAAATAATAATTTAAATTTTAATTTCATATAATTTAACTTTTTACAGTTCAACTTTTACATAAGTTTAGTATACGAGCATCGGATGGACCTGTGAAATTATTAAAAGTCATTAAAAATCCAATCACTGATCATTTACCAGTAGGTGTTAAAAAGATTTTGATGTCATTTAGTTCTACAAAAGTATCAAATTGTAGAGAACTAGTACCTACAACAGAAGATCCTATAGCAATAGTTGTAGGGGCATTTGCTCATGGAGTTGCCTCTACTGATTATGCAGAAGAAACAATTTCTATCAGCAATTATCCTCTATCAGCTGCACTTACATGCAGTAAACTGTGTACAGCATTTGAAGAGGTGTGGGGTGTGTTAATAGTAATTATAAAACATTTTAAAATAAATAATAATGAAATAAATTTGAAATAAATAAATTCCTGGAAATTTCTTTTATTCATCTTTATTTTCAAATTTCCCGCGGCTGCCATTTTGAAACTAAACGTGTTCGCGGAATTTTATATAATGATGACGTAGTAGCACACGCATTAACTAAATTAAATCGTATAATAATAATATAAATGCACATGTAATCAAACGATAACAAATTAACGAAAAAGTGTACGCTGGTTGTTATGGAAATGTGCTGTAAATATAATTTCCGCCATTAGAATTATTTCTATAGGACTAACAACGCATTGTGAAATTTATTGATAGAATTTTGTGTATATGAGGCTGATCTAAAATATGTGTTTGTTGTAAATAATTAATGATAATAAAAATGTGTATAAATTAACTGCAGTGTTGTACATTTATTTATCCGTGTTTGTAATATATATTGCATTATACAATCTTAGTACATGGCCATCACAGCCGCCATGTTAAATTCTCTGTTGAAATGAACTGTATAAAATCTTCGAAAATATTTAATGATTACCATCAATGCACAAAAAGTTGTGAATTGTGTTTGTTTTAAATAATTATTTAGTTTTAGTGTGCCAGTTAAAGAATTATGATATGATTTAGGATATATCGTTAAGAGTAATGGACCTACTTTAACATAGTCCGACGTCGCCATCGCGGTAGTTTGTCGCGGCGAGTAGAGCCCGTCTGTAAAGTTGCTTGTGTTGTGTTGCTCCCGTGTTTTTCCTCATTTCTATGTGGATTTTTACCCTAAAAACACAGGTAAATGGAGCAAAATTACGTAAAATTCGTGATTTATATTTTTCTTATTTTAATAATGGTACAGGCGCACGCATAAATGTGTAATACGAATATTTTACGTCGAGAAGTCAATTTTAGAGAGATGCTACATTGCCCGCCATATTGGG